GCAGGAAGAGAGCCACTCCAGCCTCAGTTGGTTACCCTGCTCAGTAAGGGTGAGGCCTATTGGTTAACAGGTTAAACCTTCACATCCCTACAGATAACCAGTATCTGTTGTCTTTCCAGATAATTCCCCACAGACATTCCTAGCACCCAACTTCCCCCTTAAGTAACAGCCAAACTATTTATATTGTCATGTTCAAACTGTCAGAAAGAGAGCCACTCCAGCCTCAGTTGGTTACCCTGCTCAGTAAGGGTGAGGCCTATTGGTTAACAGGTTAAACCTTCACATCCCTACAGATAACCAGTATCTGTTGTCTTTCCAGATAATTCCCCACAGACATTCCTAGCACCCAACTTCCCCCTTAAGTAACAGCCAAACTATTTATATTGTCATGTTCAAACTGTCAGATCTGTGAGGGGAATGTATGCATGGCTCTCTTCTTGTGAGCAGGAGAAATGGATCAGGTCTGCAGGTAGATGTATGCACATTGAACTAATGTAGCTTTATACTGACAATCATACCAAGTTATATTTACTGGTAGGTAATCTTTGTGAACAATCCATCACAAATGTTGTATAACAATGGGGCTGTGTACGTTTGAACTGATCTACACTAGTCAGACCTCCTACTCTTGGGTTATATTAAGAACTGCAGATGGGGATATGCATGTGTTTATCTTTGTATTTGTTTTCAAATACAAAGCTAGATAAATTCATGGAGGTTAGGTCCATAAAAGGCTATTAGCCAAGACGTAGGAATGGTGTCCCTGGCTTCTCTTTGTCAGAGGCTGGAGATGGATGGCACGAGACAAATTGCTTGATCAGTGTCTTCGGTCCACCCCCTCCGGGGCACCTGGCGCTGGCCACTGTTGGCAGACAGGCTACTGGGCTAGATGGACCTTTGGTCTGACCCAGTACCACCGTTCTTATGTTCTTATGTCAAATATCTGCTAGTTGGAGATTCCTGTTCAGTTTCATATTTACAGAGAAATCTCCTCCTATGCAGCGCTTTCCTGGAAACCTGATCCTGGGATTCTTGTCATATTTTCATTGTTTATAGTAAATAATACAGTGTACCATTTTAAGAGTGTGAATGAATGTGTGTTTTGCATTGGCAACAACTATCTCATTACTTGATAAGCACACTGTAAAATATTTGAACAAAATTTCTTACAGCGAACTGGCACAAATAAAATCATTGGTGCTACTGCCAAAGTAATATTAAATTAAATATCGGAAGGATATCTACATTGGCAGTCCTATCCATAGGACCCTACCTAATTCATGGCCCATTTTGGTCAGTTTCACAGTCATAGGATTTTAAAAATAGTGTAGTTCATTATTTCAGCCATTTAAATCTGAAATGTCATGGTGTTGTAATTGTCGGGTTCCTCACCCAAAAAGGAGTTGTGGGGATCAAAAGGTTATTGAATGGCTGTTGCGGTACCACAATCCTTACTTCTGCATTGCTGCTGGTGGCAACTCTGCTTTCAGAGTTGGGCAGCTGGAGTGTGGAGTCTGCTGAATTTGAGCCCAGCTATGAATGTAGAACTGGGCCCTCAGGTTAGCAACCATCACTCTCCAGCCAACAATCTCTAATGGCAGCAGCACATAAGTAAGGGTGGCATGGCATGGCATTGTCGCCCTTAATTCTGCACAGTTCTGACAGGGCACTGCTTTCAAAGCTGGGTGGCAGGCCAACAGCTGCCTCTCTCCAGATTCCCATTTCTGAAGATAGCACAGAAGTAAGAGTGTGATTTCCCCCTGAAATAACCTTGCAAGCCCTCTGCAATTCCCTTGAGGCTCAGGACTTACATGAGAAAACTCTGGTCTCCCTTGTGAAATTGGTATAGTACAGGGTAAAAGTACACAAAAGATCAAATTTCACAGGGGGAGACCAGATTTCACGGTCCATGATATGTTATTCATAGTCTTGAATTTAGTAGAGCCCTACCTAACCATAAAGTTTTTCTTTATGCAGTTCATAGAACAAAATATTTTGAATCATTGTGGATAGAAAGAGGCAGTTTACTGATTTGTCATGGCATATTATCCATGCCAAAACTATCTTAAAGGTGAAGAAGCTGCTTTGTTCCACTTAGTTGCGTTACATAGTTTACAAGTTTGAACAGAATTGATAGTGAAATATTAGTTAAACCTTGCTTGAATATACATCTCTCAAGTCAGGAAATGGAAGTGTTCAGCACAGAAGTGGAAGTTTAAATTCCCCTTGATATCGTGTTGTGCTTTGATATGCTGAAGGCATCCTGGGACGTAGCATTCAGAGCCATTCCTTACAGCAGTCTGGAAGGTGCTAGCTGGCTTTTGGAAATACTGCTTTCCTTCTGTAATTTCTGTTCTTACTCCTCAAGATCTGTAGGTGGATATTGCGCATTTGGGGGTTTAACGCACTTTTTAAAGCAAAATGAAAGATTTGTATTTTATTTTATTAATTAATTAATTAATTAGTAATAAGCCATAACAAGAGAAGATTTTATATGGAGGGTTAGGGATGTGCTTTCACAATAAGGTCAGGACAGTTACTTAGCCACAGTACAGTAGTATTTAAGGAGACCAATTGGATTAGTCCCCATTGTGCTAGGTGCTGTATTAATGTTGTTAAAATTTCTGCTCCAAAGAGTTCACAATTTAGGTTGTTAGAGTTGCATTTTAAAGGGTTACCTAAACTTTGGGTGTGTTATATTGGATTTGTCTGTCAATTTTAGGTATGCAAAAACTTATTAGGTTTAAGCTTCCTGCTAAGCTGTGTAGCAGCACGGCCCCACAGCTGCTTACTGAGCCTCACCCAGCTAGGGCCTCAGGGCTCAACACATGGAGCTGCCTACTTGAGGGAGGGGCACTTCTCCCTCAGCTACAGGAGCAGTTCCTGGCTGAGGACAGAGCATGGAGTCTCTTCCAGCACCCTTCCTAATGGCCTCAGCAGGGAGTGGAGCCCTGAAGCCCTGGCTGGACAAGGTTCATTAAGCAGCTGAGGGGCTGTGCTACTACGCAGCTTAGAGGGAATCTTGGTTAGGTTGCTTGGATGAGATTAGAATGTTGACCATTGTTATGGACTGAGTGTGTATCTTGATTATCATGTAATATCAAAAGTTTAATGTTTGAGCAGGTTTGATAGTGATTTCATACATCAGCTTGAGGCTTTAGGTTTACCAAAATTTGAAAATGTTTGTGTTTATACAGCTCAAGTTGAGATTGTGTGAGAGAAGGGTTGAGTTTTAAAATATTTGAAACATTATACAGAAAGTGGAGAACCGTAATAGAAGAGCATCTCGCCTCCCGGAAGGGTTCTTGCTTTTGGTTATATTAGAAAGCGCTAAAATAAGGAAACTCAGTGTGGTGTGTTAGTACTTATTAGTTGGAATTGTATGTGCTAGTTCAAGTTGAGCAGCATAAATGATGAGACAGAGTGACGTCAATAAAAGCAAAAGGATCTTGTATTTTGCAACATGAACAGTAAAATACTGAAACTGTTCTGAATAGGTTTAACTTACGTCTGCTATTTGAATAGGTTCCAGACATGGCGGGCTACCCTCACATCCGTTACATTTCATCGGGATTGGATGGAACGTCATTCAGAGGCCCTTTCAGGGGCAATTTTGAGGTTTGTAATAGAATAAACATAGATCTGTGTGTTGAGGGGAGGGTGTGCTGCAGGATTAGCCCTGCATATGGATGTAAAAGAAATAAATGTATAGAAAACGCCCTTAATTTTTAGAATGAATGACTTTTGGATGTTATCACAGTCTAGGAGCAGAATGGATACTAAAAGTAAGTGAATTGTATCTGAAAAAAGTTAGTCAATAAAAGATGCCCTTTTCCTGGACAAGTTAGCAGTAGGTGGCCGACACTGCATCTAGCCGTTACAATAAATAAGATGTCATACTTTCCAAGACAGTGGTGAAAGGAACTGGTGCCTCTAAACAACTGAGATCCACCTCATGAGAGTGAAACTTGGCAACGTTGACAGTGCTGTCTTCAATTTATCATGTAGTACAGGAATGGAAACTGTAAATATGGTATCAGATGCAGAGAGTTAATGAACTAGTCCACTGGGGGGGAAAACCCTTCATTGAGAGCTTATGGTTCTGATAAATTTCTTATTGCTGGAGAATAAGAAATCCATCACTGTATATCCATCATAAAGCTATCTTTTCTCTGTCAAGCCTCAATAACTGTTAGAAAGCAAATATATTTGCATACCACTTTAATTACATTCTCCTCCCTAGAGACATGAGAATTCATGAACATATTAATCAGTCATTTCCAGATTATAAAAACAGTTCCCAGTTCTTGTAAGCGTAAAACAATATTTTCCTATCTCTTAGAGCATCAAAAAGTGTTGTCTATCTTTTTCCAGAAAACCCCAACTTCTCCTGCACATCATAGATTTAATTGTAACGCTGCCATTCTCAGGTAAATTGTCTGAGAATGAATAAATGGGAAAACAAGGGTGTTGTCTAGTGTGTCATTCTGCGGATAGAATAACACTAACAACCATATAGCTACTGATATGTCACAGTTCTTACCATGGTTGTCACTTGACTTCAGGAGCTGATCCACTTGGAAGAGCGATTAGGCAATGTTAATCGTGGAGCCTCCCAGGGAACTATTGAAAGGTGCACGTATCCACACAAATACAAAAAGGTGAGGATTTCTCTATATTTGTATATTTACATTTGCAGATATATTAAATATTACCACTAGTAGTGTTACTGGTTCACATTCACAGCTGTTCAATTTCAAAAGTACTTGTCTTCTATATATTTCTAATCTAAAGGCTTGTAAGAAAAATTATCTCCAAATTGCTGCTATTGTGAAAATGACAGCCAGATGTTGTACCTTTGTTATGGACTTTTCTCCACTCCAGATTTTGGTTAGCATCTGAATGAATAGCAAGTATAATTTAATTAAATTGTTAAATTAATTTTTCTTTTAATATTCATGCCATATTCCTCAGAATAAAAAAAACCTGAATATATGGGGGGTGCTTGCTTTTTTTAAAGAAAAAAATATTAATCCAGGTAATGAAAAGGCAACTCATAAATATGATCATCCATATGAACAAAAGTTGTCCTTTATTTGCATATAGACCAAGGAATATTCCATTCATCACTATAGGTATTAAAAATGTAAGAAATTAAGAAAGAGTGCACTGCTATGTTATGTGGAACATAACACAAATTTCAAGAAAAAAAACGTATCTTTCACGTACACCTTTTAGTCCAATTGCAACCCTTTGGCTATATGAGCTAAAATTCTGAAGGCAAACTAGATGGATTTGTAGTCAAATTCGTACTCTTTAAAACTTCCAGTGTATTGTATTTCAATTAAATCAGTCCTGTGTGACATTAGATTCGAAGTATTCGACCAGGACCCCAGAACTATGTAGACTGCCCTCCTCCCAGTTCTTTCCTCCCGCCACATCTCCTGTCCACTTCTAGCAGTACAATATTCCTTTGGTTTTTATTTTCAATTAATTTTACTCTGCTTCTAAATTTTACAGTCTGCTGCTGACTTTTGTACTGACAAAGTAACTTTGGTTGTAAGGGGAAAAGGCTGAAGTCTTAAGCAGCTTAGTAGGGAACATTTTGTCCTTTTTACATCCAGACAAGTGTTTGAGGCAAAGGGGGAAGAGATCTTTTGTTTGGCCGTGTAGATGCGCCACATTTTGGAAGAGCTTCTTTCGACTGAAAAGTGGAAAAAGATTTGTAAATTGCAGTTCACAGTTTGTGAATTTTTTCTAGCTTATCTTTGTAGTCTACATGTAGCCCCAGAGATAAAAGTATCTTAACTTCACAGACCCAAGTATCTTTCAGTCCTTATTAATCCTTGATGCTCTTGTGTCTCTACTGGGGTTGCCAGATGGTTTAACAAAAAATACCGAACACCCCTCTTTCTCCCCCCCCCCCAAAAAAAACCCCCACGCCCCCCAAAAAAAACCCCCCCGAGAAAAAATTTTTTTGGGGGGGGGGGGGAGGGGGTGAGGAGAGACCAAAGTTGTTGAGCGAAAGGAAAAAAGGACCCCAAACCCCTGAGAGTTGTTAAGCAAATAAATAAAGAAATGCTTTTGAAGCTTTTTGGCCCTAACAGGCTGCTGATGGCCGCCCGCCATCTTGCCTCCCTGCACTGGGCCGGACAGCTCCCCTGCAGAACCCGGTAAGCACCCGGGATTTTTGCCTCCTAAACAGGAAAATATCAGAAAATACCAGACATTTTAGGTGGCCGGTATTTTCTGCATTTTTTTTACCAGACAGGAGGTGAAAATACCGGACTGTCCAGTTCAATACCAGACACCTGGCAACCCTAATCTCTACTCACTTTTATATTTTAATCTTTGATATCTAGTTGGTAGAAGAAAGCAAGTTGAAGATTTACATTTTTTTAAGTAAAATTTAATTTGTCAGATGTTTTCCTAGAAATGAAATGCTGAATATGTATAAAAACAGATTTTACACAGTTTGTCAATAATGTCATCTCTACTAATAAGGTAACAACTGATTGGTTCTCACAGAGGAAACTGCACTGCAAACAAGATGGGGAAGAAGGAACAGAGGAAGACACAGAGGAAAAGTGTACCATTTGTTTGTCTATTTTAGAGGAAGGTGAAGATGTCAGGTAAATAAATACCTAATAATAAAATCTAGTGTTAGAATACCTTTGGATAATATTGACTTTTGGAACAACAAATAAAAAATTATAATATGGAAAGTGTTTAGGTGCCATTGGCATGTCAGATCTTATATCCTCTCTCCACCAATAGCCAGTGCTGTTAGTCCTCTAGACCAGAGGTAGGTAACCTAAGGCTTGCCTGGATCTTGCCCTGAGGCTCAGGCCTCCCCCTCAGCATTGGGGAGCCTGTGCTGGCACTCCAGCTCCCACCCCTCACTGCTCCCCCCGTGGGGCTAGAACTCACAAAATCTTCTAGCCAGGGCCTGATTGATTTTTCTGTGGGTCAGTAGCCTCTGACCCAAAAAAGTTTCTCCATCCCTGCTCTAGACAGTGAAAGTCCTCTTAATACAGTGAGCTGATTAAACAGCACCTTATGAGGGGTGGAGAGGCAAATGGTAGGTTAATTGTTAGTCAGCTCATATCTTGAGCCAGGACTGACAAACTAATAAAAAAATAGAAATAATAATTGCAGGTTCTATTAGTATCCTTTTTAGAATCTTTCTGTGCTGTTTGCCTCACTATCCTGGACAATGGATTTCACAGGTTAATTCTACGCAGCCCAGTTCTACAGTATGCATATCGCTGTAACAGCATAGTCTCTCCCATAATATGCTGCATAAACACGTTCTATCATTTTTTATTTCATTGACACTTGATTTAATCAGGTATATCCCTTTGTTCTTTTATTTTGGCTGGTGCTAATTTTTATATATAAAATGAGATTTGTGCAGCAAGAAAATATTTACAGTGTTGTTAGTCTGTTAAAAATTAACTTTCTTTTCTGGTAACAGGCGTCTTCCATGTATGCACCTTTTCCACCAAGTGTGTGTAGATCAGTGGTTGATCACTAACAAGAAGTGCCCCATCTGCAGAGTGGACATTGAAGCTCAGCTGCCAAGTGAAAGTTGACACCATTTTCCAGAACTTTTATTCTCCTTTTCACTCCCTTCCATCCTTCCTGGTACTGCAGTCTACCAAAGATGGCATGACTTACCTGCGCAGATATGGAAGCATTGATCCTAGAGTGCTGTCTCTGCTATATGGTACAACTAATGCTAGACCTACAGTTTATGTAGACAGTTGAGTTTCAATGTATTTATAAAGCTTTTTTAGGTTTTACATTTTTTTTCTTTTAATTCGTTTTACTGTATTTTGCATGGTTCTTTGTATTGCATTTGTTTGCACATATTATGGGCTTTGTGACCCCAAACTTGCAGGCAAGATTAGCTGCTTTAGTAAGTAGAATTGTGTGTTGTTCCCTTCCCTCCCAAACATAGTATCAGGCTTTGAGAATATAATTTCACTTATTACTAACCTTGGATTTCTTAATTTAATCAATCATGTATTTTAGTTTAATGTACAAAGATCATCTAGAAAAGAATAATATTGTATATTAAGACATTCCTTAATTAGGAAAAAAGGCTGCTGTATATTTACAATATCAGTTTTGAATCAAATACCATCATTAATACTGGGAACAGTATATTCAGTCTGACTGATACAGCTGGTGTACTCATCACCAGAGTTTTGTCTGATCAAATTTTTGTTTTTCAACTCTCAGCACAATACAGATATATTTGAATGTCAATATTAACATTTAGACTGCTGTTCAGATTGTATTTATCATTTTCTTACAATGTCTAGAAATTTTAATCCCTAACTTAATATTTGTTGCTGTGAAACAGCTTTAATGAACACTAAATATTGATTTCAGTTAGCTGGATTGTAGATACTTGCAGATTGAATGCATTTTTAGGGAAACAAAAATATGTAGAATTTTGTTCAGTCTTCTGCTAAGTACATCAAATTACCTGTGCACATTGGTTATGTAAAGCCTTTTGATCAGGGCCTAGAATTGGAATTCTTATGGCAGGATCCATGCATTCTTAGATGTTCTAAAGATCCCAGATCTCTCATAGGATTTTTTTAGTTGTAAAATCAATAGTCAGCTAAATCCACCTGTCACTTGTTTTGTCACTGGTAACTTGAAAATCTGTAAATCTCTGTAGAAACTGACACAAATTATGTGATTTACCTTGATCATAGATTCCCGCTTTATAAATTACCAACAGTCCATCACTGATTGAAAATATTTTCTATAGTTAAGATTTGCTGCATAATATAGTATATAGAATTAAATTAATGTACTAACATTTCTCCTTTGGAGGAAGTTTGAATCCACTTTGGGACAAGTTCCATATCAAAATACTTCAACAAACAGTATAGTATAGTTTATTTAAAATGTGTTTGAGAGGCTCAGGAACATCAAGACAGTAGTACTGTCACAACCTGGGAGAGATGTTCCTATGGGATCATATATTAACATGTCAATAAGCTTGCTTTAAGCCACCTGCTTTGTAAGTGGATTGAATAATAAATACCTTCAGTTTCCCTTGTCTTGTCATTCGTAATCAGTTAAGTGTAAAACAGTTTACAGTAAAACACAAATCAAAATGTTTTGTTTACACTAAACAAATTGTGTTCCATTTATAAGTGTGACCTTATCTAATTTGATGCCTGTTTGGTTAAAAGCAGCTTCCCCTTTTTTTTAAATCCTTTCATGTCAGGAGTAGCATTTTCCAATTCAATGTCCATTGCTGGCAATAGACTTAACACTTCTGGCACTAAGGCATTAAGCAGGGATAAGTTTTGTCCTAATAGTTGCTTAAGAAGTTTAAAATGGACATTTTAAAGCCTACTTTTTGCATTCTTTAAACTTAATTTGAGACTTAAACCACTTTTGTGTTTGATTTAGTGGAGTGGAATGAAGGGGATGAGAGAGAAAGGTAACATGATTTGGCTGCACCAAACTGTCATGGTTTTAAATGGAAGCTTCTTAGAAAATGAGGCTAGAGCAACCTGTGTCTGGGTATGAAATTGAAGCTGTAGTGGATAAAATTAACTGGAAAGACCAAATAGGAACTCTCTTCCATTCTCCAATGCATATGAAGAGAAAAGGAGAGGAGGTAGCTTTTAAAGGGTGCACCCCAAGTGATGCTTGAAAGTGGGAGGATACTCCTGTTTAAAGTTACGTCATAGGTACTTAGACACACAGAAATAACTGAGACCCATGGTGCACAGTGAGTCAACTTTGGCATGCCTTCCAGGAATGAAGAAGCACAGATGTTTAAAAAAAAAAAAAAAAAAAAAAAGCACCAGATTTTGGTGTCTGGTACTAGAGGTATTTAAGTGGCCCATGAATTGACCTATTTTATAACTGCTACTGTCTTGCTTTTAAATGTATACATAACATATTGTAAAGTGTTGTTTAACAGTTATGTGCCAGGAATCACAGTTCCTGCTATGTGCTAATGCAGGAACTAATAAACCTGCAACCTACTCCTATTCCAGAAAGTTGTGACCCGATATAATTTAGGGGAAGGAAAATGAATGGGTTTTGGAAATTTCCACCACTTACTGTGCTTTACTTGCTTAGATGCATTGCCTTAAGTTTCCTGCAGCATCTTTGACTTAAGAGTCTCAACAGTATGCATCAAATTACTTTCATATAAAATTCCATTGTCAAAACAAATCTTTTGTATGCAATAAATAAAATGTTAGACTGATAACATGAAGTCTGTTTTTTCATTAAAGTGTTTTTCCTCCCTTTTGCCTCCTAGTTTATAAGCTCTTCATTTGAATAAATTCTTTGGCATAAACTGTTTACTTGCATCCTAACAATGGATATGTCTGTTGGAATATCACAATCCAAGGGTGAAGGATTAAATATTTTATAAAGCTCCAGCTATACACAAAATTCACTATCTTAATTAAAACAGTGGGTTGTTTGAAATGATATATTCCTAGCATTTGTTTTCTTTACAACTAAGAATTCATGCAAATTATTACTAGAATTGTTTTTCTGTACATAAGAACACTTTGATATCTTTTGCATTCAAAGTGTAAAACCAGTGGTTATCATAGAATCATAGAATAATAGGACTGGAAGGGACCTCGAGAGGTCATCGAGTCCAGCCCCCCGCCCTCAAGGCAGGATCAAGCTCCGTCTACACCATCCCTGACAGATGTCTATCTAACCTGTTCTTAAATATCTCCAGAGAGGGAGATTCCACCACCTCCCTTGGCAATTTATTCCAATATTTGACCACCCTGACAGTTAGGAATTTTTTCCTAATGTCCAATCTAAACCTCCCCTGCTGCACTTTAAGCCCATTACTCCTTGTCCTGTCCTCAGAAACCAAGAGGAACAAATTTTCGCCTTCCTCCTTGTGACACCCTTTTAGATATTTGAAAACCGCTATTATGTCCCCCCTTAATCTTCTTTTTTCCAAACTAAACAAGCCCAGTTCATGAAGCCTGGCTTCATAGGTCATGTTCTCTAGACCTTTAATCATTCTTGTCGCTCTTCTCTGTACCCTTTCCAATTTCTCCACATCTTTCTTGAAATGTGGCACCCAGAACTGGACACAGTACTCCAGCTGAGGCCTAACTAGTGCAGAATAGAGCGGCAGAATGACTTCACGAGTTTTGCTTACAACACACCTGTTGATACAACCTAGAATCATATTTGCTTTTTTTGCAACAGCATCACACTGTTGACTCATATTCAACTTGTGGTCCACTATGACCCCTAGATCCCTTTCCGCCATGCTCCTTCCTAGACAGTCGCTTCCCATCTTGTATGTTAGAGAACATAAATTAATACTTGCATGGTATTAGATATCGATGCTGCATAAGTGACTGAACCACAAAATTGAGTCTAGAATATTGAGGGAGGGGGATTTTCAAATGGCTTCATGTTGATTGTTCAACAACAAATCCAACATGTTCAATAGAATCGCTATGGAGAGTAATTCCATGCTCCAATAATAAGAAATTAGCAGGAGGGATATATTACCGACCACCTGACCAGGACAGCGATACTGACAT